TTCCGTAATTGTATATGTAAGTCTTTGATGCCTTTGACGTCCAAGTGATAAGTTGTCAGAGCTACATGTACGGTATAAACTTGATCAAGTAATCCTATAACAGAGAGGATTTATACAATCTTCGTACACTTTTTGATCCGAGACTTCATAGAATTACGATACGGTATGTTTTAGTTTGGAGCAACGATGGACATAACATTTTTAAAGCATTTGCTTTCAACCATTTGCATTAATTGGCATGTAATCAACGCATATCAACAATCGCACGTGCAATATCGTCTGTCTCTTTCCCGAGAATTTACGGCTTTTTGGAGAATTGACAAAATTATTTAATTTATTTAAATACAGTGGACCTTAAACGATGTTCAATGAAAACAAATAATTATAGCAAACTAAACATAAGGGTAGAAGACAGTCGAAGGTGAGAAAAGCCAGGTAAGCACATCAGGTGTTTGGTCCCGGTAATTACTGTATAAACACTGCCACGGGCGATAACGGTCATTTAGGAAACCTTAATTACTGTATGTACAAATGCAAAGAACATTTTACGTTTTAAAATCGATGTTTTAATGCATTAATAAATATATAAGCTCAGAAATATTTAAAATATACATCCGAGTAACCGAGTACCGATTTTAGTATTCGATACTCGGACGTTCGATCGAGTACCCGGTTAACCGGGTACTCGTTGACATCCCTAGTTTTAAATAACATCAATGTACTCGTTTAATAATATCGATATTTCATTATCCCATATTTCACAGACATATAGCAATACTGGTAAAACTATTTTATTAAACAAATCCAACTGACATTCGAAGTTCTTAGCAGTTACTCCATATAATACTGTTGGTTATGTGCAGATACCCGATGGGCTTAATCATAATGACACGAGGGAGCGTAACATAATTTTCATTCTTCACAATATTTGTAAAAAAAATAATTACTTAATGCTCTCTGAAGATCTTCAGCAATTTCCGCAAGAATTACAGTTATCATTGGCATAAACTAAGATAAACAATTTCATATACAAAAACAACTCATCCTCTATACCATTGATAATGCCAGACATACCGACAATATTCTTTTCTGACAAAAAAATCTTCCAAGTCATAAATATATATTGAGAATAAGAAAGGTATATTACAATTAAAAAAATCAGATGACAAACCATCATCTGTATTTTAGATTTAATTCAACTATAAGCATATTTTTAATAAAAGTAAAACATTTACCATCTACCTTACTTCTGAAAAGTTTGCACCAAAGTCTTTCTCGCCAGACTGTATCAAACGCTTGTTTAAAGTTTATAAACGTACAGAACAATTTTCTTTTGCTGTTAATTACTTTTTGAGATAAAATTGTAATAAAAGGATATTGTCTAAAGTAGAGTAATCTTTTTTAAATCCAGTCTGACTTTCTTTAATGAGCGTGACTTCTGCATAATTCTCTACACGGCTACCTAAGATTCTAGAAAAAAAAGTTTACCTAGACAGCTTAAAAGTGTAATCGGGCGGTAATTTTCAGGATGCGTTGGATCACCCTTATTTTTTTTATTGATTTCAGAATTCTAATTAACCAGTTTTCTGGTACAATACCAGGTTTAAAAATAAGATTGAAAAGATTTTCATAAATTGGCAAAAATAATGACAAACTTGTTATGTGCTCATTTAAAATATTATCGAAGCCCGGGACCTGACTGTTCTTCAAATCAACAACAGTCGAATTTTAATTAAACATTGGCATTTTTGCCGCTCTTCATAAATTTATAAACAAGAAAACATTGACGTAACCATCAATTGTCGCCCGGGAAATATATAAAGTAGACAATGGAAATAAGTCTTGATCATCCAATCGCTTCGATATGTGTGAAAAAGCATGCGTCTAATATTGATAGAGACGATAGTCGCGAATATTTTGAAAACTTATAGTCGGATAAAAATCAAACAAAAACGATACCATTTTAAACTTGATCAATTTCTTAAGTAAATGTTGGCTGCATAAAATATAAATTGAAGTTAGACACATGCATCACCTATATTCAAAGATGTATTAATTTTCAATCATAGAATATAAAACACGAACTGTGCAGAGTAAGTTTTTATGCGAGAAGTAAAATTCGATGTTCTAAAAAAAAAGGGACCTGTCGTTTTTTCGAAAGTAAATGATAAGCAACTTTATATATTAAATATGAAAAACATACATATTTTTTCAGATTCACTTACTGAAGTAAATATATTATGTATCTCGTAATTTATAAAGCGAAAAACATTCTGATTAACAATCTTTTCAATTTTTAGAAAACCTTTAATTCTGAATAACTTCTCCCACCTCAATCCTCATACAACAACACTTAAACTTATATGTATAGAGCAGTCCGGTCCTCCGGGCTGCAATGAATCTTGTAGATTTAGCTAGATATATTATTGACCTTTATTTGTAAACGTTTTTGATATAATTTTGCATGACAATTACTACGTGTTTTTAAAAAGAAGAACTAGTTAGTTGTTAAAACTTGTTTCTTATCCTTTTGCTTGTCAATAAAATATGTTCAAAACAAAGGACAAGATAGGATAAGACCAGTATTTGGCCCCCGATTTTGGGTGTCTTTCAGAATGATCCAACAGTTTATCCATGAAAACCTGTTTTCACCCCTGCCACAAAATGAGTGTTAGTTTAAAGATTAAGAATATACAGGGGTCACAGTGAGGTCAGGAAATAGGTCAATTTTCGAAATTTCTCATTTTTATGCAAATTTTCATTAATTTTACAGCACATTTTCTTTCGGAAAACATAGAGCACACGCTTGCCTATCTACCGAATTTATATGTTTTATACACTGATATCAGATGCAGTATATGTGTAAAAATCTCAGATAGGCAAGCTTGTGCTCTTTGTTTTCCGAAGAGAAATGTATCCCAAATATGATGCAATTCCACCAGAATTGAGAAAATTCGGGAAAATGTCCTATTTCTGCATCCTGTAGTGGCTTACATGTAAGCTTTGAATCAAAGGTAGTACTTTTCTTAAAGTTAGCATCATTTTAACTTCTTAACTACAAACTATCACAATTTTACCAGTGTTCTGATTTTTATATCAAATAAGGGGCCAGATTCGGCTGTTACCCTATCTTGTCCTTTCCTTCCTTTCACTAACTTGATTGTGGGGAAATACAGACCAGGTAAATCTGGTGCTTATTATTAGGGCTGGGCAATAATATCGATATTTCAATATATTGCAATACAATGACAAAAAATATCGTATGGCAATACGATTTTGTAATATCGATATATTGGCAATATACATAGATTAAGGAATTTTGTCATTAAATAAAAAAATGGACTTATAAAAGTTTGTTATTAAGCCAAACAGTAAGTCAGAAGTTGTTTTGTGGTAAAATTTCAGAGCATAACTTAAATGAAATCAACAAGATTTTTTTCCGTGTTGGTTACTTATCATAGTTGTGTACATTCTGTATGTAAATTAAAGTAAATATAGTAAGAAAATGCCATTTTTATTACATTGAAAATATTGCAATACATATCGCAATACATTTAAAAATATCGCAATATATCGCAATACGAATTCTCAGGCCAATACCCAGCCCTACTTATTATCTTAGGTTTTAAGGAGGCTCATTACACCCACAGTTTATTTTCGATTTCATTACAGCATCACTTATTATGTAGATGTCAAATATCCAAAATGAGGTATTGATATCATAAGGTTGTAGATTTCAACTCGAATTTCCTCCGTACGTACATGTCATTAGTAGAGCTCACCACTTTCGCTATGACACTGAACACTACTGTAAACCAACTTTCATTCGCGTGCAAAAAATATTCGCAAGTTTCGCGAACCACTTTAATTCGTGAATATTTATCGCCGTGAACCAGTTAGGTTGCTTTATATTGGTATAGAAAATGATCCTCAGTCGCGAAAATCAATCGTCGCGGATTGATTTAAAACTGACTGACCGCGAATAAAAGATGACGCGATTAATAGTTGGTTTACAGTACAGTACTTGTTTAGCAATGATTTGGCTGTTGTAATTTTTATTTTTTACTTAAATACAACCCTTCTTCGTTTATATATAACGATTTTTTAAAAACTTTTTTTTCATTCTTTATACACACGCATGCGCGGTCTTAGAGGGGGGGGGGGTTCAGAACCACCCCTGGAATTTGCAAGGTTTTTTATATATTAAAGCAAGAAAAAAGTCACGAATACTTAGAGTGTACTCTAGTGTTGATGTTTCGTAGATAATTATATATCGAAAATGACGTATGCCTTTTTACGAGTCAGTTTTAAGTCATATTGATTGTTGGACAATTACTTCAACACCAAGTTGTCCACGGATTTTTTTTTTTTGTTATGTCCCCATTATGAAAGGGAGCAAACGGCGGATGTGATCGGTCAGCAGGGGATGCTCACTATTCCTTGGCACCTGATCCCACCTCTGATGTTTTGGAAATTCATGTTTGCTCTGCTCCTACTTTGTAATGTTTTATGGACCATTGAGTTCGAGTATTATTCGTTATCTCGGCATCATAGTTTCTCCATTTCTCACTATCTTTAGCATTGCTCTTCAGATCTCCCCACGTTAGTTTGTGGTCCATCATTTCTTTTTCAACAGTCCTTTGCCAGGTTTCTTTGGCCTACCAGGTTTCCTCTTTCCTTTCGGTGTCCATCTAAGGGCTACTTTTGTCATGTTGTTGGCTGGCTTCCTCAACACATGCCCTATCCATCGCCATCTCCTTTTAGTCAACAAAGTTCTCATGTTGTCTGTGTTAGCCTTCTCATGGAGTTCCACATTTGTAATTTTGTTTGGCCAGAAAATCCTCATGATCTTTCTGAGGCATCCATTGTGGAAACTGGGAAGTTTGCATATGTCTCCTTCTGTCATTCTTCAACATTCTGCCCTGTAGAGTAGGACAGACAGTACATAGCTGTTATATATTCTTATTTTTGTCCCTCTACTTCTGTCATTTGTTTTCGAGATGTTCTTGAGGCTGATGAAGGAACCCCTAGCTTTGCTTAGCCTGGCCTTTAAATCCTTGTCTACACCCCCATCTGATGTTACTATGCTGCTTAGATAGGTAAATGTTGTTGTGTTGCTCAGGTCGTTTCCATCAACCTGTATTCTTGCCGGTTGTTTGGTGTTTAATGACATAACTTGAGTTTTCTTTGTATTGATCTTAGTCCAATTCTTTCTGCTTTTCACTGTAATTTTGATGTTTTACTTTTATTTCCCAATTACGAAAAGGAGCAAACGGCGGGTGTGATCGGTCAGCAGGGATGCTCACTATTCCTTGGCACCTGATCCCACCTCTGATGTTTTGGAGGTTTGCTCTGCTCCTATTTTGTAATGTTTAATGGACATTTGAGCTCGAATACTGTTTGTTATCTCGACATCATAGTTTCATCATTATTATGGCGTGACAAATTGCAATATTCGATTTTTTGCATTTGTTTTGTATACTAGTAGTTTTTTTGATTTGTATTGTATAATTTTTTCATTTGTATTGTATAATTTTTTACTTATCTATAACATACATGAGCTTATACAACGCTGCTATGCATTTACAAAAAAAAAATTTAAAACCCTGAAACATTTTTCTTCTAAATATTTGTAAAACAATGACTATGTTGCATCTAAAAATGCACTAAATAAAACACAATAAGAATGGTTGAATACTATTTCTGTTTTGTGTTTGGGGGATTTAGTTTCTTTCTGGCAATCTTTCAATTATCCAAAAATATCAACATATTGAAAATTCAGACAATATGTTGTTATTTTCTGCGTACGAAAATATGGCAGAAAGATACTAAAGATCTGAAAGGAAATATTCTGTAGCAATAGTATCTTTCGAAGGGTTCCTTGAAGTTGCCTGCCTATATCTCTTAGGGCGCGCTTTATTCGTTAAGGACATTAGATATGGGGTTCATTAATTTCACTTCGGAGGGTGTACTTTTTCCCTGACATACGGTTCATTACATTTAGAAGCATTTAAGAAATTTTACGAATCTAAAACAAAAGATCTTCGACTTAACGTAATGATATTTACAGTAACTATTTTACCCGTTTACTTAATAGCGTCTTTAGTTACAGTATTAGACCACAAAAAAACTTAAATAAGTGCAATGATTTAATCATCATATAGCAAAAGTCAATTAAATAAAGTATTTCCGCCATTTCAAACGAATTACATCTACCGGTTTCGTGTCATTTAATTACTTAAAGTTATACAATCCTTGTTATTAACCAGGGAAAAGTTTTGTTTTTAATTTTTAGACAAAGAAAGGGGGGACACTTTTAAAAAATGACTTTAATGAATCTATTTATTGTAGAACTAAGACCAATATGACTACTATTTTTCACCGAGAAACTTTATGAGCAGTCAACAAAAAGTGCAGTTTTTTACGAGGAAAAATATAGTATTGATGCACAGAGTTACCACTGTTTAAAAGGAAATAAAGGAAGTTAAAAAAAGCAAATCCTTCACGTTTTACAGTTTTGCAGAATGTGTACGATGTGATAAATTGCTATAAATTCCTTTCGCCTTTCTTTTGTAGATTTATTCCTTGATCAAAACAGGTGGAGCGAAGTGTCCGAAGAATGAAACATCTTGGAGGGAAAGATCGAAGATAATCTGCAACAATACTGGAAATCGTGTTTATCACTGTATTCCGACAATTGATTTGAATGCCATTTTAGAGGACTGCTTCATCTCTCAGTCAATACAGCCAAGTTTGTGCATAAAATATTAACCCCAAATTTAACCGATTAATTTCTGTTTTCAGAAGCTACCAATTATTTTGGATATTGTCAAATGTCATTGGAGCACACAGCAAATGTGACCGGTCAGCAGGGGATGCTCACTCCTCCATGGCACCTGATCCCACCTCTGATGTTTCAGAGGTCCGTGTTTGCTCTGCTCCTATTTTATATTGACTTATGGACTTTAAGATTTAATATTGTTCGTTATCTTCACATCCTTCTTTGTTTTCTTATCTAAAGATGATATCCATCACTTGACACTGAGATTTCTGAAATTCTGTTAATGAAATATTTGAAATATATCTTTCGAAACAAAATTAAAAAAAAATCGTTGGTAAGTAAAAACAGGTAGAGCACAGGGCCGTATAAAAATTGTGTTATTTTTAGGGCTTCTTCTGGGGATGGGTTTGGCGGGAGCGAACATGGATAATCATGCAACCAATGATTTATTTGTTCTCTACCCCCCCCCCCCCCCCCCCACACAGAGCTTTACGACGATCATCCCGATCAAGCCAGGATCTGAGAAGTTTTGGATCGGGGCGAATCGGTGCCGATCGGAGTCTAAATCTAGCATTTTGGCAAATTATGGTCTTCATTACGACCGTACTACGAAGCCTATTCGTCAAATGCGCTGCTAACACGCTTCTACTACGATGTTACACAGACCACTGCCGACCAGCGACCGCGTTTACTGTGTTTACGCTACGCTGCCGCTACGTGGCATGCAAGATTATACCACGACGCTACGCAGACCTACATGACTGTTCGACGATATCGCCACGGTGGTGCCGATCATATAACGATTTAATTACGCTTCTAGTACGATTTTGGTGATGATGTATGTAAATATCTTGCAAATGCAGATGTTTCTAGTACAATGATGCATATATCTTGCAACCGCAGATTTTTCACGGCCTTTACGTACCATGTGGTTTATAGGACATTCTCAATTGTAACTGTTACAAGATGTGAAAAGTTCGAAGTCTCAATTGCAAATGATCGTCAAGTTTATATAGTGTCAACCTTAATATGTAGTAGACAGATGATGATTGGTCAAATATCAGCTAGCACTATAAAAGCAAAATGCTCTCTGATTGGTCGTGGTATGATCGGCCTAAAGTCATTGTAGGTCTTCGTAGGATCTCCAGGAACGTAGAGAGATCGTAGTGGGATCGTTATAGGAGCGTACTTGAGAAGTTCCTACGCTTTTACTGCGCCTTTACTACGATCACGAAGATCTCTCCACGATGCTTCCGCGCTGCTTGTACGATTACGGCGCTTCTACTACGCTCTTTTTACGACGCAATTCTTTTTGGCCACGATTCCGCTACTCTTATTTTGAGCATGTTCAAAATAAGCGTGATGAGAGCGTGGAGCTCTCCGATCATGAAGACCCTACGACAAACATACTACGCTTAAGAAGACTCCACGATGTTTCTCCCGCGATTTGTCAGGATTGGCCACGTTTTCGGCTACGCTTTGATCGTAGGTGTGTGAACGGAGGGTAACTGCTGATCGATGATCGTTATTTACTTACCTGATTTAAGAAAAAATGTATCCTGACAACAAAGTTCCGTTATATCAAGTTTTGAGATCAGTCGAACTTCTTTTGCCAAAGTGAACAAAATATAGAATAAATTGAACAATCGAAGATGGAATAGATCCAGTATTTGTTAATGTTAGAATTTCAATTTAGCCGACTGTGTACACACTGCTAGTAATAAAGAATCAATCAATATTGTCTAACATGTATTAACTTGCTTTCATGCATAGAAATGATATTTCAAATTTTAATATTAATTTTTACAGATTTTTGTGCAGTTTACAATACTTACCTGAACAAAACTGGATTTGACCAAGAAAAATCTTGTAAAAATAGTTTTCTCGAGAGGTGTCCAAACAGCGTGTATCAATCGGATGAACTCTTTAAATGTAAGTCTTTCATTATTTGCTAAGGGAAACTGTATGGTAAATAGTTTAAACTCCATGTTCTAAATTTCAACATCATGCGTAATAAAACTCTTTACTTTGACAGATCCGTTATGTTTAGAAATAAATCCAGATGAGAAATGCTATGTTGCCGAGTCTTCCTGTCCACGTATACAAAGGTAAATATTTGCATAAGTCGCAGTTTAGGAGTTTACTTCTTTTGTTGACAGACATGTAAGTATATAGAACATATTTGTATAAAGCATTTATATCTTTTAAGTCTCAGTCATGCATTTAATATTGTCTGTGTGAAAGAAAATAAATCATGCTCTGATGCATGTAATAAGAGATGTTTTATTCTTTTTGTAGCACAGACGTTCATAATATAACTAATATTTTCACGGGTTGATAAACATTTATTGTCCCTGCAAGTACAAAATGCTTCTACCATGTTTATTCAAACAAAATGAATTCATTTACCATACATGTATATATATTGGATTCCGAAACTTAAAAAAAAATCTTTACAAAGATAAATTAAACTTTATCCTTAATACTTAAAAAGTAGATGTTTTGTTCTGTAAAAATGAAAAATATTTAAACTATAATTCAGATACTCAAAGTGAGATTTAATGTCAGTCCGTGCTCAGTGGTGTGTGCAGATTTTAGGAATTTGAATACACCCGGTGAAAATAAAAGAGGTCGTGCCCTGTTTACAAAAACAATTTACGTTTCCCAGTGTCAATTTGTCAAATTTTACTTTGTGAAAGTGCAAACGTGGGTCAATCAAACGCGTCCCGAAATTTGTAGTTTAAATAATTTCAAGATACTAGTAATTGTGTGCCCCTGTTATCGAAGATTTGGGGGTATATAGTTTTTGTCGTGTCCGTCTGTCTGTTTGTCCGCAAAATCTTTAATCTTGCCCATATCTTTTGTTTTAGTGGACTATGACTTTCATATTTTAGATCACGTTTATACGCCTTGTGATAAGTCCTTTCTTTGGGTACCACCAAATTTGACTTTTTGACCTCGACGTGAAGTTTGACACTCTTTAACACAAAAATTCCAATTTTTTACTTTGGCCATAACTTTTGAACGGTAAATTGTAGGACTTTCAAACTTTACATATGTATTCTTTATGACAAGACCTTTCGTTGGGTACCAACTACTTTGACCTTCAAGATTTACGTACTTAAAAGAACTTTTATCTCGGCCATAAAGACTATAGGGCTTTCATACTTCACATACGTAATCCTTGTGACAAGAACTTTCATTGGATACCAAAAACTTTGACCATTTGAAATGATTTTGGAATTGATTTGTGGGATTCGAACCGTAGCAATAAAAATCCGAAGAATCATACTGCTTTGAGACTAACGCGCTAACCACTATGCTACATGGCTCATGATGATTGTGGGTATTTAAATCATGTTTGTGATATGACCCTTGACTTAATGGACTTGAAGTATTTCTCGGAAATATGCAAATGTTTTACCATAAATGTGTACTTTTAAGGTGTAGTGGGTCTTCGCTCCATGTTTTTGTAAACCAAAAAATGTATATTTTATTGCAAACTTTTAGGATTATCTTTCAAAAAAAAAATGGAGCGAAGACCCACTCATATTTAAAAAAATTGGTAAAGTGTGAGAAAATGATCTTTTTTGTTCTTTTTAGTGAATGTATGCTTTTCCATAGGCATATATTTTCAGCTTTTGTGGGATTTTTGTAAATTGTAGAGATTTTACATATAGTATACTTTAATATTAGATGAAATATCAAATAAAATTTGGATATACACATGTAATTGATATTTAAGAAGAAGGGTGAACAAGGCAGACAGAATGCCAATAGCGTCGGATATTAAGAAATCATATTCAGTATGTGAATTGGGTATTTAAATTAACTTCTCATTATTAACATTTATGAAATTATGAGAAAAAAGTAACTTCTGAGAGAAAAGAAACTCGTAAAAAATTTTTCTTTTATAAAAATATAAGATGGTATTCGTGGGATTCGAACCCCTAGCAATAAAAATCTGAAGTATCATACTGCTTTGAGACTAACACGCTAACCACTATTCTACATGGCTCATGAATATTTCGGACATTTAAATCATGTTTGTGATATGACCCTTGACTTAATGGACTTGAAGTATTTTTCGGAAAGATGCGAATGTTTTGTCATAAAAGTGTCATTTTAAGGTATAGTGGGTCTTCGCTCCATGTTTTTGTAAACCAAAAAATGTATATTTTATTGCAAACTTTAAGGATTATCTTTCAAAAAAATGGAGGGAAGACCCACTCATATTGAAAAATTTTGTTAAAGTATGAGAAAATGATCGATTTTGTTCTTTTTAGTGCGTGTATGCTTTTTCGTAGGCAAATATTTTCAGTCTTGGTGAGATTTTTGTAAATTGTAGAGATTTTACATAAAGTATACATTAATATAAGATGAAATATCAAATAAAATTTGGATATAATTGAGACTAAATTTTTCATTTCTTATCTGTTGCATTATAGGCACTTCTTCCGCCTTATTCAACCACCTTTTTCACTTCTTATCTGTCGATCAATAGGCACTTTGCCCGCCTTTTCCCCACATCTTCTTTTTAGAGTATCTTAAGTCCTTTTAAAATGAATCCCAGATTTACTATATATTACTTTTTTAATTGGGTTATATATTTAGATTCAAGTGATTTAAAAGCGATTGTGTAACAAACAAAAACAGTTTTCAACAAATTCGAAAATCCAGACTATTTAATTGGCAAGATGTAATGGTATTTTGGTCTTGAGAGGAAAAACTGTATAACACAATGGAATAGACTAGATCTTCAAAATACAGTTATATAGTACTGAAAGGATAAAGAAACACACATTAAACTTTTGAGTTAAATTAAAACAATTCTTTCAAATATGTTTTCTAGCATTGTTATCATACATTTTAACTCATCTTTAATCAACAAGTTACCAAAATTTTGTGTGATTTTGACTGATAATTCCTGAGATATTGATATCAATATGCCGCCCCCCCCCCCCAAAATAAAACTAAAAAATCTTATATTCTCCCTTTTGCATCAGTAACAAACTTGATTTTCCTGTGCATTCAGTTCACCAGAGCATGTATCTTTTTCATAGCATTATTATTATTCAACCCTTCCGACGGCAGTCTGAGATTAGCTGTTTTATTCCAAAGCCAACAAATCCCCCCGCCCAATCGAATCCCACGAATGTTCGATTTAGAATAGAATGTACAAAACCCAGCAGGTTTGGTACACGTGAATATTTGTAAAAATGTCTCGACAAACACTAGCTACATTTTTTCAGTGTAACATGCTAAAAAAAATTACGCAAACGACGCATACGTGCGCGTTAGAGAGTAAAACCGACGTAAAGTGGCCAAGCTCGCGGCCCAAATTAGAGCGGAGAGTTTCTGTCAATTTAGGGTGGAAAAAATGAGTATGATTGCCTGCTGTATAAATATCAGTTTCAGTGAAAATGCGTTGACAATAACCGAGGTGGCATGATGAAAAGCCCAAACTTGTTGTGACGTTGTTACGCGCTAACGTCACCGTCATGGTTGGTTGGAAACGTTTTAAGATAACTATCTGACAACCCCCCAAAAAACTTATTTTGTTGAAAAGTTAAAAACAATCTGTATAGCAGCATGTTTTTGCCTTTTTATTAACTTATGCAATATTGAATTCAATTACTTAACCCACAGTAGCTTCCGCAATCATAGCACGATTGCATTATACCACGAAATAAATCAAGAAATTTATACTGACTGCAAATATGCAAAAACGATGTCTATAACTGTAATGCATCGTATGGCACTACAAAATTTTATCACAAATTAATCATCATTAGCATGCACGTGTTTTTCACTTTTTATCATTTCCCTTACGTGACACAATAGATTTCATGGTTGAGTAGTTTTTAGCAATTTTAGTGCAAAGTAACCAAAATACACATTTGACCAATTTTCATAGTTTTCGGCCACATAGTCAAAAATTTTCCCCATATTATGTTCTTATGCGTTTCTGTTTCCTTTCAGTATACTTTAGGTGCTTTTTAGTTTGTTGGTGTGTAGGTCTAAATTTTAGACTTTTACATCTGCTGCGAAAGTTCTTATTTAAGTTATCTATATTTCAGAATAAATGGTGCAAGAGATCCGCCTTCTTACAGAGTGTTGATTGTGATGCTGATATCAACTACAATGTTAATGATATGAAAGAAGACTACATTGGTTTTAACAAAAAATTCTGCCTGTCTATAAAAATAATCTCCGGTGCATATTCTTAAAGATTTGTTCGGAATCTGTCTCCTAGCAGTACACTAGACTACACGGTCATTGAGAATAGAAGTGAGATAAAGTTATTTGGACATTAGTTTTTAACAGGAGATTGTTATCAATACACGTTGTAAAGAAATTATGATTTATAAATCTCATTTTACAACAACTCTTAAACTAACGTTACTGCCCTAAGTGACGAAATATTAATATAGAAAGCACAAAGAAATTCACTTTGATATGGATACCCACTTCCGCCCCAGCCCGGGGTTGAACTCTCCTAGCAGTACAGGAACAACGCGCTAAACCGCTCGGCTGTCTAGGCAAGTCAAAAAACTTGCTTTCGAAGAGTCTCTTGGGGTTACCTACGAGGATTGTTCGAAAAGTTCGTGGACGATGTCAATCTTCGCTATACTACTTTCTAGAAATCTAATATGAGCACAATATATCATATGTAACAATTCCTTTTTGTTTTTTGATGTGAAAAGTTTTATTCCATTCGATTTAATAGAAATCAATTTACTTTATTTTAAAACCAACATGGTTTGTATCCACGTGCACAGAGCACACTCAACGGCAATGTAACGTCAAAATCAAAGCGTCAAGAATTCCTCAAAATTACTATCCCTCATACATTTCAAACAGTATAGTCTAATACTCACTTATCAAAAACCATATCTATCACTTGACAGTTGTATAAATTATTTTTTTTAATTTCATTTATCACTAAACGGTACTTTCACAAGATTAGCAGTTCTGAAGCGCCGATATGTTTTTTGCTGCATTTTATAGAGAATATGACTACAGACTTTTTAAGTGTATTGTTTGCAAATTAGTAAATTTTGACCTGCTCAGCGATCTGAGTTTTTCTTTTTTTTTAAGTGGATAAGTCTGAAATAATCCATGATATTTTTAATCATTTTAGTACAAATCATTTGAATTTATTGTTAAAATATTTCTAATTTAGAGAACATATGACGTTAAATAAAGAAAGATATCACAGAAGTCCACGAACTTTCCCAAGATTGAAGAACCCTCGTAATTCAAAAAAAAATCCTTTACATATTTAGCACTAGCTTTTTTGTCTCAGTGATAAATGCGACAAAATTTTGATGTAAATGTTATTCACTGGCAATGCAAATATTTTAACCGAGTCAGAAACCAAACTGATATTAAGTGTGACAAAATTTTCCACAAAGAACGAGGGCGCTTTTGATTTGCATTCGGCAGGAATCTGGGCGTTATTGAAAAGTGAAAATTTTATGGACACGTCAGATGAAATTTTAACATAACTTTTATTTTTCGGGTTCCTGTGCAACAGGAAAGGAAAATATTTTCCTTAAATCGAGCTTTGATTGCTTAAAACATAACTTGAAAATTGGCCAGATCAGACATTTGGTACAAAATGGTAAATTTTTAAACACGTTTTTCTAATAATTTTCTATCTCTGGGTCTTCTCTCCATGATTTTAAAACGTAATTTGTGTGTATTTTAATTCAAAGAAACGAATACACTTTTTTAAAAAATGGAGAGAAGACCCAGAGACCACGAAAAATGAACTTATCCCCCAAAAATCCAAATGTGTGAATGTGGTGCTTCTTTGTCCTTTTAAAATCATTAGTATATGTGTATCGTTGATAGCTCAGTAAGTTGGGCTACCTGTTCATTGCACTCGATACGAAAATTTTTGGTTCGAGACTGGCATGGGGCGTTAATTTTTTCGATGCAAACAACCATTTATTTTGTCAGTTTCCTTTTACGTACTGAAATATCAAAATTTTGAATTAGATAAAGTTTGGTTCAGTTTGGTTCTCGAGCAAAATCAATTCTAATCTTCTATTCAATAATGTACATGTATATGTATCAAGCATCTATGCATATTTTAGGTGTTTATTTTTTGTGAAACATTACTATGATATAGTACCCTCAAGGAAAAACGGACATAAATGTTACAATTTCACAATGTCTTTCAAGCTAAATGAAAAAAAACTGTGGACGTGTTTGTAAAGTCTGACCAGCTATGTTCAGCCAACCAAATCATGGATATTTAAACTATAAATGTTTCGTACAAATGATTCCTGCAGATCACTCGCCAAATGCCCCCATCTTCTTTTGATAACGACACTTCATGGCAAGGATTTTAAGCATTTCAAGGGAAATTGATATAAAGATTTCAATGCATTTTGTGGGTTATTTCTTGTAACTTTTGTATACACTAATGTGAATATATTCTGAAAGTAGGTATTGTTTATTTTTTTAAAATGATTAAAAAATATTATTTAAGAGTTAGTTTAATTTTAATTTTTTTCTTTGCTTAGTTGAATATTTTTGAAAATTGAATTTTAATGTAAAAAATTACCAGCACATGATATTTGTTTAAACAAATTTTATGTATTTTCATGGGGGGGGGGGGGGGGGGGGGTTAATATCCAGATTTCAACATTTTTACATTTTACTTGTTACCACCTCTTGATTTCGATCACGACAAAATCAGTTAAATAGTGCTCGTAGTTTAAATCAAGCTAGCAAAAAACTGGTACAACTAATAATAAAAAAAATAAACTTTTTCGATACATTATTTTATCGTAATTAATTTCTCCTTCTAACTCTGCAAGAATTATTGATATTTTCAGTATTAACGAAATTATGAATGTTTGTTTACACTTTACTCGTTTGTCTCATAGACTGGCATGTAGAAATGCGTATATGCCGTGAAAGGGGTTGAAACATATTCTGTATTGTTCATGGGGATAATACTTTCTATTAAACTTGATCGTAAATGGCGCATGTTCTCTTCTATGGCAGCTGATCCAAACATTAGAATACTCAAAAACGAAATTACTTTTTTTAAAATTTTATTTCTTTTATTTGAATCCAGTTGTACCACAATTGTACACATTTCTGTTTAATTTTTACTTGTGCTAAATTGAGTTGTTTTACAATGAGAGTTTTACGAATTGTGAATATTTTGTCCATTTTTTGGTATTCAATGTATAACGACGACATTTTGTACCTAATAAATTAATGATCGGATATTTTTAATCATGATAGCATTTAAAAGATGTTACTAAATTAAGATGTTCTACCAAGGAAATGACAAAATTTTGATTATTTTCAATTTAATTGCACTTTGAATTTTACATTGAAGTCTATGGGCAGCGCATGTTTTTATCGAATATTGTAAAAAGCAATTCGAATTTCAAACAAATCTCTTGATGAAAATATGCATAAACTCCCTCTTTATTAAACTAAGACATAAAATAAATTATTTACTGCAGAAATTTTGAAAAAATCAAAAATTTTCAAAAATTTTCATAACTTTCAAAAACTTTTAACGTGAAAAATGACTGTCTGCTTACATGTAATCAGTCTTGTGAATTTGGTTCATCTCGCTTTTATTTTTATCTAGCAATGTGTTTTAACTAGTTTAAAATTATTTAAAATCGTTCAAAATCCCTTCGTTTTACATTGAATACCTTAAGTGACTTTCAGAAATAGCATTTCATTGACTCATGTAGTATGTATATATATGCTGTTTCAAAGATTTGGGAATTTATAGTTTTTAGCTCACCTGAGCCGAAGGCTCAAGTGAGCTTTTCTGATCAAAATTTGTCCGTTGTCTGTCGTTGTCGTCGTCGTTGTTGTCGTTAACTTTTCACATTTTCATCTTCTTCTCAAGAACCACTGGGCCAATTACAACCAAACTTGCTACAAAGTATCGTCGGGTAAAGGGGATTCAAGTTTGTACAAATCAAGGGCCAGACCGTTTTCCAAGGGGAGATAATTATGAATTAGAGAAAAAATAATGGCATTTTAAAAAAATCTTCTTAAGAAACACTGGGCCAGGAAAGATGAAACTCATGTAGAATTATCCTCGGGTAGTGTAGATTCAAGTTTGTTCAAATCATGACCCCCGGGGCTAGGGTGGGGCCAAAATGGACGATCAAAGTTTTAAATAGGAAAATATAGGTAAAATCTTTAAAAAGAACCATTGGGCCAGGAAAGATGAAACTCATGTTGAATCTTCCCCAGGTAGTTTACATTCAAATTTGTTCAAATCATGACCCCTGGGGGTAAGGTTGGGCCACAATGGCCGATCAAATTTTTAAATAGGAATATATATAGGGAAATCTTTAAAAATATTCTTCTCGAGTACTGCAAAGCCATAATTAGTGATATTTTTATGGAAGGTTCTCAAATACTGTAGATTCCAGTAAGTTTGTTCAAATTATAACCCCCAGGGACATGGTTGAGCCACAATGGGGGATCCAAGTTTTAAATTAAAAAATATTTTTTAAAATCTTTTTCGAAAGAATTGCAAAGCCATGAATAGTGATATTTATATGGATGCATCCTCAGGTAGTGTAAAATTTGTTCAGATCATAACCTCCAAGGGTAGGGAAGGGTCTCAATGGTGGATCAAAGTTTTACAAAGGAAAATAAAGGGGAAAATATCAAAAACAGAATAGCTATGTTAAGTCATATTGACACGTAAACATCCTCAAGTATTGACGATTTAAATTTGTTCAAATCATGAGTAACCTTTAGGGTAGGGAAGGAAACAATGGGGAGTCGAATTCAATTTATTACAAAGTAATATATATAAACAAAATGTTGAAAAAAAATCTATAAAAATCTTTCTCTCAAGAAGTTATATGAAGAATTGATATGGAGGCATTCTCAAGCAGTATTATAATTCAAGCCTCCCTCCCCCATCCCCTCTGTAAACTTTTCAATTCTTTTCTGATTTCTGCGTTTTCCTTGCCGATGTGCTCAGGTGAGCGAGGTGGCCCATGGGCCTCTTGATCAGTACTATTCTCAATTGTACAAATAAATTTTAATTGGTGGAAGCGAGTGTTTCGTGTTTACCTTTCCTTGTATGTGTGTATTCCTTGTGACAAGACATTTCCTTATATATCAACGTGTGTAATCCCTGAACTCTTGGCATTATTAATTGCAATTTTCTCAATTTTGGCGTTTCTTTCCAAACTTTATCAT